AACCGACACTAAGGTGACGAACCTTTTCATTCCGCGACTGTACTTTAGGCAATAAATCAATGTCCTACTTCGGTAAAATATCGCAATTAATATTCTACTTCGATAATAATTTACAAATTATTCTAAGTAATGTTTTTGCCAAATAAGCTACCCAATCAATAATAACTTCGACATTAATGTAACAAATTTCTCATTAATATACCAACGTGGATGTTATTTTACTTCAGACACAACAAATAAGACAAAGGCTTTTACTCGTTTCTAGGTCAATCAAAAAGTTATACCTACTTTTTGTCAACTAATTTCAAACGCCTTGTATGAAATAATAGGGCATTCAAATTATTGTTTCTTTGTAAATGTTTGAGACATTTAATAAAATATAACATAGAATAGTCGACACATCAGACGTTGTTGTAGCAAATTGACTCCTATTACCACTAGACAAGATGTCACATACTGTACTACAATAAGACATCGTAGACACAAGTCGCAGCCCTGTCATCTCCCTCAAAGACCTATCTCACATTATCAACCAAGCATGCATAATACAATTCTTTGTTACAGCTTTTAGTCTCACAAGTGTTACATTGGTCGTGACATCAAGGTGTCATGTAACCGCTTATTTTCTTCCAGTCAATATAAAGGTAACCCACTTTGCTGAAGCTGAAGATGTTAGAAACAAACAATCGACTTTTACTGCTCAACTTGGAACTTTGGATGTGAAGCAATCAGAAACATAATTCTGATAAGATTTAGCTTCGAAATCATTTCTATATAATTGAGTTTAAGAGTTGTTTGGCAGAGAACGCTTAAAGAAATAATTCTTGTATGAAAACTTGAATAAAATACTAAGGTAACAGACATTAAGTTACTGGAACAATTGTAGAATGAAATGAAAATGAATGAAAGTTGCAGAGTTGACATCTACGAACTGAAATATTATATTATGATCAAAATATCAATCAATTTAACGGAAATAATCTTAAAAACTGGACATGGACAATGAAAACGAAAATTCTAGAGACAATGTTGATATCGCTCGTTGAAGGAATCCCTAGAATATTCGCGTAGTAAGTACGCGGCATTGTGCGCGACAATTGAAATAGTAATGCTACAAAGGAACTATCCAAATAAAGCAATACTTTGTTTGGATAGTTCCTTTGCTTTGTAGCCAAATCTCTTTTCTACATTGAAAGAAAGAGTTCAAAAGCTGCTCTAAGCACTAATATTAAGAGAAAAGATTTGATTGTTTGTTTGTATTGAATGGACTCCGAAACTACTGAACTGATTTGAAAAATTCCCTCACCATTATTGCTATCTTACATTATTTTTGATGAACATAGACAGACGGGTCAGATATTCTAATGATAAATCATAACCCTCTTTTGCTTTGCCGTAGTCAGGTAAAAAGTAGAACACAAACAAAGCTTTCAGCATAAAACGTGATAAAACGACACAGAATAAAATGTTTAACAAGTAACTTTGTACCTAAGCGTTTTTGAATATTCAATTTATATACTCAAATGTTTTATTTAGGAAATTTCAAACGTGAATAGGATACGGTGGAACTACATACTCGTAGTTCAAAGTTTCAATTAGTTTTGTAATTAAAGTCGATAAAAAAGTAACTAGATTCGGTTCAATCGGAATCGAAATGAATTGGTTTTTTAATAGTATATTAAAAAAATTGTTTATTTTTATTAATTTTAGTTACATTTTTTGTCGATTTACGACAGCACATTTTGTTGCCAAATGGCATGTTTACCTACCTACAACTGTATAAAATGTAAGAGTTTAGCATGTGTCGTCCTTACAGCAAAAAATTGCCTTACTTAAAGTGTGAATCATAAATAAAACGAGCGGAGTACTATTTGGTTTGAAATATTTACTAGAGATTTGGAAACAACTTAATTAGAGATGAGCTGATTTAATTTGTTGCCAAATAAACATTTTTTATTTCTTTCTATTTATTAAGGATACCAAAGATTAATTTACTATTGTTCACCCTGTATTTCACCTCCAGGTCCCTAATCTCACTCAAATGTTGAGTTATTAAGTATTTAGTAGCGAATGCAGCAGAACTGTGGTTAATGGTATCCCTATAGAATTAAGTATGTACTACTATATGCGGGCAGCGCAGGACCGTTCATTGTGGAAAACCTTGGGGGAGGCCTTTGTCCAGCAGTGGACGTCATTTGGTTGAAACGTACTCCGGAAATGTGGTCACCTATCTTCCATTACTTCACTGGACACCCATCTGATGTCACCGCTTGGGGCATCTTAGGGACCACCAATATTCAATATCTTTAATGCATTCCATGTTGTTACATAAATGTAATAAATGTATTATGGAAAACCACAAGCTTTACTTAAGTTACTTAGAGTATCTCGTAGTCTAATTTCCCAGTAATCTACTTGACACTCAAAAATACGAGTATAATCTTAAACGACTGCTCCAAAATTCAAAAACATACAATAATTTGAAACTGGTTTAAAGTATGCTTAAGTTTGAGTTGGGTGAGCTTCGTAGCACACGAAAGTCGTAGCACAAAAAGGAATTTTGGAGATTTTATTTTTGATTAATAAATTTATTGCGATACTTACACTTGTGTATAATAACTACATACTTTGAGATAATACCTTGGATAGATAGCCATTGTTCAAACAAAAACATCTAAAAATAAGACCAAAACAATTTAAACCTTTACCTTCAACCTTCAGTATGGACTCTACTTTTGTCATTTACTAGTCGTCTAAAGTTTAGCAATCTTCTAACTTTTACGAGATTGAAACAAGACCGCGGAGTTGCTTTTCGTGTAAAGATATTTTATTTTGTATAAACGCTACATCTACATGATTTTAGAATCTTAGGTATTTCGCTGTAAGCAATAGAAGGTCATTTCAAATCTCATCGTTCTTACTTTTCAGCGGTTCATTGCGTTTGCATGAACGTTAAAATTCTGTGGTTGTGTTGACTTTTCCAGCTGAGTCCGGCCGCCGCCGTCAGTCGGGAGAAACTTCGGCGCACGACAGCCGCACCGCGCCGGAATCGCACGCGAATCGTACGGCCCTCGTAAACATATAGCGATAACGGTGTGGTGTTTAACATTAAACAGAAACAGACCTGTGTATCACGATGGATTGATTTGTGTCTATACTGAGAAATTTCGCGGGAATGGGATTGTGAGTTCGCAGTTTGGTGAGTATCGTAATTTAACTATTTCAATTTTCCAATCGTGGAAACTTAATTAACTTGAAAACTAAGTAAGTTTTACTTTTATGAGTACATTAAAAAACTACAAAAAGATGTCCAGAATTTTTATAAAGCAAAGGAAAAATGATCTTGTTTTTTTAAACTAAAACTTTTTCAGTAAGTTGCAACTCAAAGTACTTAATACAAAGTACCTACCTACTAAGTTTAGACTTTCCCAGATTAGAAAACAATACAATTAAATGCCTAATGATTGAGTAATTAAGGTACTTACACACCACCCAGTTTTTCTTTGATTAGCCAACATAAAGCTAACTGAAGCTTTCGTGATAATGAAAAAGGCTAAAAGAACAATGGCAGTAATCCCTAGCAACATGTAACGTTTAGAAAACAGAAATAAATAATGCTACATCATTTTTTGCTGAATGGCTTTGCTGTATTTGTTACGGAGGACTTATTTTTCAGAGGTATTAAACTTTGATTAATGATATCGCTTACGTAGCTTTATATTCTGTCGAAGTCCGGTACCAACCAACATTAATGATATTGGCACAAGCAAATTTGTTTGCAGAGCTGATTTTAATTACTGATTCCACGAAACCGGCTATCTTTTTTATTATTTATTTTTCCGTTCCCTGGTTTTTGCGTTAGGAAGTAACAAACCCCAATGATGTATGGACACATCCTCATAAACTTTCGATTTATAATATTAGTATGATGTAAATTAATATCTTTTCTGTATCTCAACTGACACTGAGTTGGCTATTGAGATGATCTTTGTTTTGTTGTGTACCTATTGTGTGTATTGTTTAGGTAGTGTGTATTGGATAGGTGTTGGTAGCCTTTACATACTTTGTGATATTGATAATTATAATTTAAGGGGCCTTAACCATATTGAGTGTTAGTTAATGGATGTTAACACTGTATAAATACGCTGTTGGTTTTTTTTAATTAAATGAGATAACAAATTGTATTTGTCACTAATTAGGCAATGGTCTTTAAATAGAAATAGCGAAGTTATAAGGAAACAGAAAAATATCTGATTTTTTTTGCAATTGTTTAGGTTTGTTTTTAACAACAAAGTGAAATCTTTTGGCCTACAACTCACGTGATGGAAAATGATGATCAGGCCAAAGTTGGAAGCGAGCTTCATCTGGAATCATCAACCACAGAGGAACTGGCTTGGCTCTCTTACCTTTAACTGCTGTTACAAAACAAAAGCTGTTAACATTGTCGTTATGGAGACTGACTAAGATAGTTTGTTCTACACTAACTATCTCAGTCAGTCGAGACTACATTGATGACAAGGATGCGTAGTCAGTTCAGTCTGCACATATTTGATGCCTACTTGAATTTGGTTATTCTTCTTACCGTTAGATAATTCCTGGCAATTAGTGATGACTGAGTTTGTTTCGGCGTTTCTTCTCAGCACTTGCCATATGTTTGTCTCGAAGCGCTGGTAGGGCCCAAAAGATAAGGAGACATGTAAAGTCACAGTGATAAGGGCTACCTTTTCTTTTTTCTTTTTTACTACATTTTGACGTTCATAAGTGCCACTTGTGGTCTAAACTGAATGAATATTTTTGATTTTGATTTTACAATTCGTGAGAAGCTGGGGTGGGTCGCTGGTAATGTGATACAATGTCATATAAAAATAATTGTATTTGCAGGACGAATGTCAATAAGTTATAAGGTATAATATCCTGTATAATAGGATAATATCATGTGTAACTACAAAAGACTCAGCTCAAATCACTATTCAGAATTTATTGTACCTCGTATGTTTACAATGATGCGAACATGCTACTTCGCAACCGTGCACTCGCTGCTGCAGTATGGTGCTGAGCTCTGGGGTCTCGGTGCCGACCGAGAACGGGTATTTAGGATGCAGAAACGCGCTGTGAGGGCCATTGTACAGGTATCGCAGCGATCAACTGTTAGGCCTCACTTCAGAAACCTAGGTATACTCACCCTGCCGTCCATAGTAATTTACCAGGTAGCTATATACACGCGCGAGAACCTGGACTCATTTGTGAGACATAGGGATCGTCACAACTATAACACTCGCTTCGCCGAAGCACTAGTATCGACTGCAGGTAGACTACGAAAGTCTGACTCTTTGACGCACGTATTGGGGCCTAAAGTATACAACCGATAGCCTAAAATAGTGAAAGAAGCGGTATCACTCCATTCTTTCAAATTTCAATTAAAAAAGTGGTTGATCGAGCAGGCGTTCTATAAAATTGACGAACTGTTTGGAATTTAATTATTATTGACACTGTTACCCACTATTTATTTTGACATTTAATTGACATTAATTCTATTTGTATTATTAATTTATTTGGACATGATGTGTATTTATTTCTTATTAATACTGCAATTGTTTATTATTAATAAGAAAATATATTGAAAATTTGACATGTAATGAACATTATGAATAAATTTCTTATTCTTATTCTTAATTTTATTAATATTATTAGGTATACGTGACAAAAACATCATATCAACTGTAAAAACAAATATTTATTACAACTAATATAAGATTGATATGCTGAAATACGAAAATTTCTTCCAAACGAAGAAACAGGTACTGTCTTCGTGTAATGTGTGCCCACATGATATTGGCAACGTGGCTATAAATAAATTGCTAAAGAAGAAGAAAAACATTGAAAAGCTTTACTAATTTGTCTATTGCGTCATGCTTTTATATCCAAACATTTTTATTTTAGAAAATATTTTAATGAAAAATAAATAAACCAGCCAAGTGCGAGTGGAACTCGCGGGCTGAGCTGATCTTTTTTCTCTCTTTTCCTACACTGCGTTGTTAAGAAACACAATTTTCCTTATCTATAACTTGTGTTGTAAATGTATTGTAAGATCATAAGCTTCTTAAAAATGGTTCATAATTACTGGTCGTATAAATTCTTCGTAGATTGTAATATCCCAGCTAGAAAGACTAATGATTGGTAAATAAAGGTTCGTTTTTGTTATAAAACTTCAATTTTGTTATAAAAGTAAATGTACAATGTAAATGTTAGCCTTCAAGACTTTTTCCTGGATGGAGTATAGTATCTTAAAGCATCTTTTAATTTTTTTTATACTAATCACGTGCAAATTATGAATCAATTATATTGCGTCATGCCGTGTCAAGTCCAACGAGGTTCTAGGGCGCTGGAGGTAACTCAATGAGGGCTATCGTTTTTATACTTAACAGTTGGCACCCCTGGCGATTGACAGGACCTTACTCTACAGTGGCGCCATCTTGATGAGTGCAAATGCGAAAGTCCTCCTACCACTTTCGCGCTCACCAGTTGGTGCCACTGTCTTCGCTACTAGCAAGTGACAGGACCTTACTCTACAGTGGCGCTAACTGGTGAGCGCTAAAACGATAGCCCTCATTGTCTGATGCTGACACGTGGGTGTTCCTAACAATGCTAAAGCCGTATGAACGTATTCCTAGAGCATAGACCCGATGCAAACATAATAGCATCTGTAAGATATTTTGAGTTCGCCTTTGCAAAGCTGTGTTGTGCATACAGAGAGTAACAAAGAGGAAACTCAAAAGCTTGCTTAAAACGGAGTACCTACACGCGTACGAAGTCGCAGGCGGCTGCAAGTGCATGTATACTTTTGATTATCATCTGCCATTAGCAATGAATCGAAGTTGATCCTTAGCCCTTCTCATATTTTCTTTTGATTGGTTTCGTTGCGGATCAAGTGTCATAATTCCCCTGGGATTATCTTAGCCTTCGAGGGATGCTTTCTGATCCGCAGTAAAATGGGGTATAAAAACTGAAAGATATATTTAAAGGGGTTAATTAATTTTATAGCCACGATAGCTGAACGGTGAATAGTCGGAGTGGCCGACTCGAGATCCGAGGAACGCGGGTTCGAATCGGGACTATTAGTAATTTGTGCAATACAAACTGATAATAATCCTTAAAAATAATACTATAACTATGGCTAGGGCTAATTTTGTACCGCCAATTATATTCTCAGTTAGCCCTAGGATTGACTGGAGGAGAATGCCGCATGGCATTTAGTTCGCCTTAGGTATATACCGTGATTTAAGTGCATAAAAGTTTTAACCTTCGGCAGGCAACACTTTTTTTGTATACGTAAAAGGCAACAGGGGTGACCAGTCACCCCAAAAATTCAATTTAAATAAATAGCTTTGTGATGAAAAATCAAACTAATTAATGATAAGATCTATTACTTTGTTTCATTATAAAACTAAAAATGCTTTCATTTAACAGTTTATATACTCTTAATAATTATTTTTTTAACATTAAGCACAGTTAAAGCAAATATCTTTGCGATGTTGAGGGCATGAGGGTAGTTGTCATTTTATATGAGATGTCTTAACTTTTTTGTCCAGATTTCTTTGACACAGCACTCACCTTGCCTGTTTCTGTAACTTTGCTAAAGGTGCACCCTCAGGAGGTCCCTAGTTCATATTTAGAATGTCATGTGTAATTGCTCTATAATTCTCGTATCTCTCGCAGCAGTTACTATATTTCGTCGTGATGTTTGACTCCAAGGTGATGGAACCAAGAAGACCAAACATATCCGTTCTTACATAGTAGCACGTTATGTTCGAATTGTGCTAGTAGAACGTCATCGTCGTAACAATTTTTCGCTATTGGAAATAAAGTCTTCCTCCTCCGACTGAACTGAGATATTGTCTTCAATTTTGGGAATCTTATTATCATTTGAGCAGCGTATATCATAGATATTGACATCAGCAAGTCTATAAATGTATTTTTCGATTTGACCATCCGAAAACAAAGCCATTTTTACTCCAAAACCAATCATTTACTTTAGCAACACGAAAAAATAAAGTATACGTAAAAGGCAACAGGGGTGATGAGTCACCCCAGCAGTGTCAAAATATCAAAAACAGGAACCTAACGCTGTATGTTGACGAATGCGACTGATAGCTTTCCCTCTAATTAGAGAATAGACCAAACGACAGAAAGGCACAACATCAGCAACTAAACGTATCAAAACTTTTTTGAACTGGTGGGGTGACCAGTCACCCCTGTTGCCTTCCGAAGTTTAAATAAATACGGTCGTATACAACATTCAAAACACTCATCAAATTAAATTTCGATTAAAATTCCTGGCAAACCCATTAAGTACATTTTAAGTACACATTACAAAACTCATTAGTAGGTAGGTACGTTGACGTATGAAAGTACAATGTTATTTATTCAAAAAGCCCAAGGCAAGCTTATCGACTGCTCCGCGTGTTGTACACCGTTTTGCTTTCAGATAATTCTTTGTGACAGGCATTGATAATGTATGTTGTTGTCCGTGAAATCTGCGAGCGGAAAGTTGTCATTGGACCCGCAACAAAATTAATCAGAAGAACATAGGAGGAGTTCGAAGTTAAGGTTCGACTTCCCTCCATTGCAAAGCGGATGACAGGTGTCAACTTTGCTAGATAACATTTAGTACCGTAATTTTATGATCTCTGGGAAAATACTCTTTTTAACTGACTTCAAAAAAGGAGGAGGTTCTATGTTCGGCTGTATGTATGTTTCTATGTATGTTTCAAATTATTTATTCCTAAAATATACATTAAATCCAATTAATAAGAGAATACCCACATAATTAAGTAAGGTAGATCTACCTACATTACTTAGTCAACAGTATCTTTTCGCATAAAGTTGTTTAATTAATTACACGAATCTGCTGTAACAATATATCCTTTGATAATACAAATACACAAATTGATAAGATGCGTAGAACTAAATACTGTAATTATTTCCGCCTTCTATTTCTGGATGACGAAGCTAAGCTAACTTAATCAAAGCAATTAGTAGTGCACGAGTAGAATAATAATTACAGGAAGTTCATAAGATTGAGTCGTGTGGTTCCGGCAGAGGAGAATATAAAAACACTATTTCACTACTACCACAGATCCATATCTACAGGGTGTTGATTTCAATCCTCGCCATATTTATTTAGGTGATCTATTATGACATAAATAAACGTATTATCCACCAAAAAAATTACAAACGGAAGTGGAATTTTTAGCGAATATTTTCCGTCTGACATCAACTGTTCTGTGGTTCGCAATACTGCAATACGTTTACACTGCGGCACCATGTAACGTAGCTACGCGGATTGCTCGCTTATCATGTCGAATAACCTACTGAAGGTAGCCACCTTTTAAGTAGGTAGTGTAAATAGGTATTTTTCTTTGACTAACTAAAGTTCTTCATTTTTTTTATGCTTGGTATGGACTGCGGTGTTTAAAGCAGGGCGTTGAGCTTCTTTCTGTTGGAAATATGTGGCTTAAAACAGAAAAATAGCAATTTATGACATCAAAACCAGACGTGGCAGTTTGGGCTCTTCGCCAGTATGCATGACCGCGCACTAAAAGGGTTATGTTTTTGTAACTAAGTCATAGAGGTTAAGATTTATTGATTTTGCTATCTTTTACTTCTAAGGCCTTGCGTGTTGCCAAGTTTTGCGAGTCTAGGTCAACAGGAAATACCTAGGTTTTGACTTATTGACGACTAGGTATTAAAATTTGCGCAAATACTTTGGTTTTTTATCGCGTTGACTTAGAAGATCTGTCATACATTTAATGTAATTTATTTACGTATTCGCTAGCGAGGACACCTAACATAAACTCATGGTAAGCACACAGTTCTTTGTTGCTCTATTCCACTAGGTATATTAACGTTATGATTGAAAAAGACAGAATTGATGCGTACACGGGTTTTTATTTTTTCCTTTCGTGATATATTAAACCCTAAAAATAAACCTTTTAAGTTTGATTTCGCTTATGATTTTTGCTAAAGAAGTTGCCGAACAATGACGTACTTTTCGGTAAGTATTATGTCCTAAAGCCTGGTCCGTGAGCACGTAGAATTTTGTCCTATGACCCCAAGCTACCCATCCTTATCGCTCGCGCGTAATTATTATTGCTGTCGCGACTGTGCGACGGGCGCCCGCAGTGCGTGTGCGAGCTTGGGGTCATTGGACAAAATTCTACGTTCTCACGGACCAGGCTTTAACATATTTCATTCCTGACAATATATTGTGAGTTTCTCTTCGACATGGTAATTTCTCTCTGACATTA